CCAACCAAAACTACGTAGCATGCCGCTAATCATAGCGCACACATTAGTTTTTATTGTGCCAAACAAGGCAATAAAACCACGGCGACTTTGAGTCATGTTTCCTTACTTTGGCTCAATTAAGGTCTGACCTAAAGTCTCCAAAACTTTTGCTCATCTAAAGAATGGGATTACATTGTTCACATTTGAACATCTCTACTAAGTCTAGGTCAACCAAATTAACTTCCATAAGCTAAATCAATTTAGAGAGAAATTCGCATTGGGATTAATTTGATTAGCATAATATAATTTTGCCACAAAAATCTAAATTAAATAGTAACAACATTACACAAATCGCAAGATCGAAAATCCGCTATGCTCGTAATTATCTCTTGCGCCACAGGTGACAATTATCCAAAATTTAATTTAATTCATGCGCAAAATATTAGTTTTCGGGAGTAAATCTACAAAGATTTCTCTCAACCAAACAACCTCCCACTGATTATGGGATGTTTAAAAAATATGATAAAATATTCTAATTCCATACAATAGCATCATGATGTAGATTCACAATCAATACATGCTATGTTACATTTAATAACGGAATTAAAATAAAAAATAATTAATCATGCTATGCTAATCACAGCATATTACAAACCCTAAAAAAAATAATATGCTGTATTTAATATTCAAATTATGCCATAACAGAAACTATATCACTTCTGAAATTTTTTGGAATTTTGTGGTATTGTCTAGAATTTTAAATAACTAATAAACACACATAAAATTAGAAATAAATATTCCAGAATCTGGTAAAATGCTATAACTATACCAGTAAATAGTAAACTACAACAGTAGTCTACAATAAAAAATTCAGCCCCAGAAACTTAATCATGCAACACCAGATGCATTTTAAACCAGAAATAATGAATTATTATTTCAAGAAAAATATTTTTTATTTTTATAAAATTTTCAAAATTTTACAGAAGATAAAAAAATTTAATTCTAAATCTAATGGTACTAACCACGCTTAAAACAAAGCTATAACGAATTACTTATGACCATTTAACGCGATTCAGAATTAAAAACAAAACAAACAGAGCCTTAACTTCAGCAGCCAAGCCGGCGGAGAAAAACGGCGCGGCTCAGCGCGTGGCTCATCTGCGGCTCAATGCGAGGCCCAGCAAGCGGCTCAGAGAACGGCCCAACGAGCGGCTCAGTGTAGCTGACGCACGTGTAGGCGCGTCTATTGTGCGCGTGGTGCATGGTAGCGCGTGAGAGCGCGTGGCTGGGCATGCCTGCCACTGACGGTGTCATCTGGCGCATGAGGCACACGCGCCGCCTTCCAGGATGTTTTCTGGTTCGATTTCGGTACTCCCGAACTCCATTTTTCACAACAAAAACATTTATGGCATCAAAAATCACATTTAATGAACATAAAAATGAGGTGTACCACACTCTCAATCTAATGGGAGTGGAAATTTTCCTCCTTTATAAACATTCATGTATATAATAAGTACATATATATATAAAATATACACATGATTAGAGAAAACATGAAAATACCCATTCATGCTCTAATACCAATGTAAAACAAAGTATAAATGCAGCGGATGAAAAATTATGGTCATACCTTTTTCTGCAGAGTCTGAATTGAAAGATCTCGTGGGTAAATCACGTACTTCCTGAATCTGATCAATCAACTCAGCAATGGAGTGATATTACAGAATGGGGCAAATTACATATACACCCCTCCAGGTTTGGTTAAATTACAGATACCCCCTGAGGTTTCGAAAATTACATCCCGCCCCCTGAGGTTTGTATTTTCATAACAATTTATCCCCTGAGGTTTATATTTCATAACAAATTACCCCCTAATTTCTTATGCAAATATAGCATTCAGGGGGGAATTCGTAATTTCTCAAACCTCAGGGGGGTATCTGTAATTTTGTCAAACCTGGAGGGGTGTATATGTAATTTGCCCTACAGAATGAATATCACCCACACAAGTCACAGTGCAAAATAGCTCTTGATCGTTGTATTTTGAGAGAGAGTCAATATATGGGAAAAACATATGACATACGTTGTTTTTTTCATAATCATCCATATCCCATATTATATCAGATATATAGGATAATAATAAATCTATCCATATCAGTTATATCAGATATATAAGATATCTATATCATCTATCCATATCAGTTGATATGATAGATATAGATATCCTGAGTGGTTATCCAAATAGGTTTTGAATTCAAATTCAAACTTATTTGGATAAGGTTCAAAAGGTTCAAAAAAGGGTCATGCCACATGGACGCCCAATTTCTAACATTATTAAACAAGTATCGATAAAAATACACAATGGGTTCAAACTCGACTCGTTACACTACCTATTAATTAATAAGACAGTACTGCATTGGACTTGAGTTACTACTCAATGAAACTCCAGTTATTAGTTTAATAAATTTGACTTATTACTCAATAATACATCACTTGCTATTTCATTAGATTTCACTTACTACTCAATTAAACTGCATATTTTACTTACTACTCAGTTGAACTTCATACCACTTAATCAGATTTCATTCACTACTCAATAAGATTTCGTTCACTACTCAATGAGACTCTATTACTATTCAATGATTTTTCTCTAATTAGGTGAAATATTATTCCAACAAAACCTTAAAATTTATAAATTACAAATATTACATAATGTTAAAATACAAGATAGATAGAGACATAAATAGCTTCTTACCTGGAGAATTTCTAAAATTAATAAAAATCAAAATCACTCTTTCACTTGTCCTTTACTAAAAAAATCTAGCGAAAAACACTATTGTTCGTGGTGTGTGCAAATGAATTGGAAAACCTTCTATGTTCTCTTAATCAACTAATTTAGATGTATTCATTTATTGTCATTAACAAATGTTGTTCATGGTGGGATAGGTAAAGAAAAATAATTTTTGTAGATGTATTAATTCATTGCCAATAATAAATGTTGATAAATGAGAGATCTTCCTAGATATATTTATTTATTTCATTTTCCATTAATACTTCAAAATATTGTAGCTATTATATTTATAAAAACATATTTATAGCCAGATAACCTGGATTTTAAATTTTTAAAAACATTTGAAACTAACTTCATATTTATTTTGTTGTTAATAAAATTTAATTATAAACTTATTCCAAACTTTAAATTTATGAGTTTTAATTTCAATTTTAAATATATATTTCTTAAATAACATAACACTATACATTTTATTTCTTACACTTTATATTGTGTCTTAAAAAAAAACCAAAAAGAAAAAGGAAAAAAAAAAAAGTGGTGTAGAAGATGCCAGCTATGGTGTGTTAAATAATAATTCAAGAAATATACAAAATATGAGGTGGAAGTAGCCAAATATAGTGTGTTATTAATTTAACACAATTTTCTATGTATTACTTGCTACATTTTCAACCAATAATCTCATGGAGATGTCATTTTCAATAGAAAGTGTGAGTTCAAAGAGTGGCACGTTTCTCTCACAGTACTTACCCCCGCTAGAGAAGAAATTAAAGACAAATAGCTACTAAACGATGACTTTGATTTACTAGAGACGTCGACATATTGTTTTACCTCGGTAGAAACAAAATCCTTTTTTCTTAGGGTTATTTTATTTCAAATAGAAATAGAGAACGAAGGAACTAGAAAGATTGTTAGAATCACCTTCTTCTAGAGGGATCATCTAGAAAGCGAGCATTTCTCACAAAAAAAAAAAAAAAAAAAAAGGGTACTCTGACAATAAATAGCAAGTGTGACATGTTACAATAGTAAGCTAATGTCATATATATTTTTATTAAAAATACTCAAAATTACTTTCCTTGTAAGAATCTATCTTAGTTTCCAACCAGGTATTAATCATTTACTCATCAATGATCAAGATAGTGTCTTATACAAATCCAATGATTGATATTTATTCATATATCATACCTTAAAACCACATTCTTGTAGACTTTTCCTTGACTATAAAGAATTAATCAATAATTGACATTTCAATTTCATGCCCATCAAGTTGTACTTCGTCATCATCCTTGTTTCTAATTTTGCTAGAGTTACTCTTCATATGTACTCTGCCTAAATGGTACTTAACCTGAAACAATCGTTATTATTATTGCATAAAAACAGCCCAAGGGAACACACACAATCTACCAACCAATACACAATCTATGCAGAGCAACCGCGTATATATCATGACGAGGAGAACAGAACTCCGGAGGTATGGGAGGGAGGAAGAGAGAGAGAGAGTATGGAAATGGTGAGTGTTTGCTGAAGTTTTTGGATGACACTAGTACTAAAATAGTCAAAAAGTCTCTAAAATAGTCACTTTCCAAACACCCACTTAATGTAATTTGGCAATTCAGTGAAAGAAACAAAACTTATGCTCCTGCAATTACACTAACCACCTTTCAATAGTTTTTATTACTGTAACAAGAACAATAGAAATTTCCTTACCAGAAAAAAAAAAAAAAAAAAAAAAAAATAGCTTAGCGAATTAAAAAAAAAAAAAAAAAAAACAGAAATTCCTCGTACTCAACCACAAAAACCAGCAGTACATGTCAGTTTAATAAAGTAAAGTTGTAGAGTAATCCAACATTTTATTTGAATAATTTGATACTGAAGATGAAGATATCACTATCACTATCATGATAATGTTATTTTACACACAAAATATTTCTCTTGCAAATTAATTTTACACAAAAAAAAATTTGTTTTTATTTTTCGGTGCTTGGTTCACTTGAAACAAAAATATTTTATTACCTAAAAGAGAAATTTTGATTCAACAGTGTTATTTATGACTTTTTAGTGAGTTAAAATATTGATTTGAAAATGCTAAATGTGTTGAAAAAGTAGTGAGTGAGAGAGTCAACTCTGTAAAATTTGACTTATGAAATTTTTAAAAGTCATTTTTGAGAAAATAATGCAAAAATATTTTACTTTCTACTATTTTTGACAAAAATCTTTTACGTCAAAATAAACGGAGCCTAAAAGTAGTAATTTCTTGGGGGTACTGACATTATATGGTCAAAAACCAAAAAACCTTTCTAGCATAACATATCAACAAGCAAGAACCAACTATTTCATGCATACACATTGCACATACACAGCCACACACAGAGCACCCCCGCGCGCGCACACACACCAAAACATAAACATAACTTGTTACCATACAAGTTTTGAAAACAAGGACCCAGTAAGAACTACGGGAATGGAACGGATTAGTGCACGAAGACAAGGGCTCATCAAGTTGAAGCAGCATCACCCTTCCACAGACTTAGCGAGGACATTAAAACACACTGTCATCTGGAGAGTCGGTCTGATAGGGGATTGGAGGCGTAGTTCTTTTTTTTTTTCAAAAAGGAGATAGATACAAAAATTGTAAACCACGCACGCATACTTCTTGCATATATCAAGAAAAAGTCCATTTTCTGGAAATGGCTTTTAAGCCATCATCATGACCTGCGCTCAATGAAGATCCAATCAGCTGGTCATTAAAGAAAACCTCATTACCAGTGAATCTGTAAAATCATGATTGAAATGCAAATCTTCATTTTTTTTGTTGGGTGAATATTGAAATGCAAATCAAAATGTATCGAAGAGATAAAAGAAGGAATTACCCTCATATAGCTTTTGAATCATTGAGACAGTTCAATCTCCATACATCCTGCATCTGCTGCTTCATTGTTTGATGCATTCTCAGAAGTGTCGATGCAGGAACTGTTTTTAGAATGATCCCCTTCAGCAAATAAGTAAGGATTTTTTGATCCAGCAGTATATGACAGGTTATGTTTACTTTTGTAATTATCAGGAAAGAAACCTCTTGGCAAGCTCAGTAAACCATGAGTGTTTCTTTCACTGGGGAGCTTAGTAGATACTACTGGTGATTCTGGTGTCTCAGGATGTTTTCCTGACAATTCCTGCATCTGCTGCTTCATTGTTTGATGCATTCTCAGAAGTGTCGATGCAGGAACTGTTTTTAGAATGATCCCCTTCAGCAAATAAGTGAGGATTTTTTGATCCAGCAGTATATGACAGGTTATGTTTACTTTTGTAATTATCAGGAAAGAATCCTCTTGGCAAGCTCAGTAAACCACGAGTGTTTCTTTCACTGGGGAGCTTAGTAGATACTACTGGTGATTCTGGTGTCTCGGGATGTTTTCCTGACAATTCTGCAGGTCTGTGAAAGAGCAGATGAGCCACAGTTCGGTCTATGGGATTGGTCTCAGTCTCCATATCAGGCATTCGAGTGAAACTGCTGCAATAAGATAGCATCATAGGTAGAGGAGGTATAATGAAAATTGGAAGGAAAGTTGGGTTTATTACTCAAAAGTGAATAAGCTCCATATTGCCCGTGAATATGCAGAAACAACATGCAAATGGGAAAACAGAAAACCAAGACCCCAAAAAGCTCAAGTTGCTATAAAAGGGGCCCAACAATGCATATCAAACACTCCAACATAAACTGCCCTCCTATAAATTGTGCAACATTGGCAAAAAAGAGTTATGTATAATCATATGAATGACAGAATGCTGCAAATTGTAAATCTTTTAGTGATTGTGTGTAGGATCACCAAGACTAAAATCTCTAGCAATCACCTTGCAAATGGAACAATTCTAACTCTAACCTATTTGTATAGAGACTACCATTGGTTGTTTCTCTTGACTTTGCAAAATCACTAAGGTTCTGTGCAAACACTTTTAACTTTTTAATAAAAGAGTTTTCTAAAAAGATTTTTAGAAGTAACCAAAATTTGGTTGGTCATCGTATTGTCCACTTTTAGACAATGTTAAAAAAATTGGAATAAAAAGCTATTGTCCAAATACATCTGAACAACAAGAGACTTAATGGAAATTAAGAATATTCAAGACTTTTTTAAACTCAGTTTTGGTAAATAAAATGGGCCTTGCTTAAGATTTAAGCATTATTTTTCACATAACAGAAAAATTCAGGAAGTAAAGCACTTTTTGGGGAGTCTGCAGTCATATGAATCATCTTAGAGGACTGTTGTATTTTAAAAGTTTACCAAAAGAAAACCTCCTACTCCTACTCCTACTCCTACTTTCTCCTACTCTTACTCTTACTCTTACTCCTTTTTGAGCCAATACAAAATTTCTCAACCTAACTATCCCAATCCAATAACATGCAAAAAAAAAAATCGCCCTTAGATAAATGGGCAAAAAAAAAGAGAGGATAAAATGAAGTAACTAATATCATAGTTGTCAAATCGGTATACGAATCAAATATCGTTGTTCTTTTCTTTTCTTCTTTATTTTTATTTTTATTTTTTTCTGAATCATGTGTCATATCGTGTATTGCAAGATACTTTAACATATTTAAAAATAGGAAAGAAAAACAAATATAGTTATAGCAAACACAAATATCCTGCAAGAACAAGACACTAAATAATGTATAATCCTTAAAATTGTAAAAGTAAGTTTCCTAGAAAAATAAAATTCATGTAAAATGTATAATTCTCAATGCTTAATGCATATAAAATGCAGAGTGGAACTACAATATGTATAAAATACTGCCTTAACTAACCATTTAGGTTTTAATATTCAATTTACAACTTTAAATTCTTGAAAAGTTTGTCTATGGCAAAAAAAAAAAATTTAACGAGTTAATGAAAATATATGATAATATTAATTTACATAAAATAAGTTCAATAATTTTTTTTTTTTCTTTTCAAAATTGCTAAAGAAAATTTAAGTATTCCTGTATCGTTTGTATCATATCATGTATATTACATTATGTATTGTATATGTACCCTAATATACATTTAACTTAAGATACATATTGATGATAATATTAATTTACATAAAATAAGTTCAATAATTTTTTTCTTTTTTTTTTCAAAATTGCTAAAGAAAATTTAAGTATTCATATATCGTCTATATCATATCATGTATCTGTATCATATATTACATTATGTATTATATATGTATCGTAATATACATTTAACTTAAGATACATATTGATGATATGTATCGATTTCTCTATTAAAATATGGAATCGTAAGATATGCATTGTGAATCGTAAGATACTAACAGCACTGACTAATATTACTTTCAATATTGTTCTTCCATGTTTTTTTTGAATTGATTTCTGAAATGTTACATAAATTGTGATATCAAGATTATTGTATTTAAAACATGAAATAAATTAGTGCTAAACTACATGTTTTTGCCTTGTGCCTAATTGGCATCCACCTTTTATCAAGCCCGACTTAGATGATAGTTTATCATTAAACCAATCTTCTCCTTTATTACATGATGCTTCTATTCTATTGAGAAATGAAAACTTTTAAGAAAGCACAATGCAAAATCGTACAACAACTAAGCCTTTTCAAGAGAATAAGTTGTGGACATTAGGTTAAGTTGCCTTAAAGCCAACAGAAAGCTTGACCTAAAAATTTTAGGATTAGGGCTAGGCTATGTTACATGGACTCTTCTAAAAAAATAAATCAAACACGTGTCGAACACCAGACACATTGATAAGGATGTGGCATCTGTGTACTTTTCATTGGATACTTTGCACTTGATGCAGGACGAGTAGTGATAGCAATACCAGTGAACTTTTCGGGCTGATTTTAATTAGGTTTTATGGCTAAAAATTGCAATAAGAGTTTATTAGAGTTTAGTATAGGGGTTTGTTTTGTTTATTTTATTTCATTCCAGGCACTCTTGTAATTTCTCAGACTATTTAATATAAATGCCTAGGTCTAGGGATGAGGAGTTGTATCTCATTCTAGAAACCCTATTTTATGTATTACATTTCTCCATCCTCTCCTCTTCTTCTCTCTTCTACTTCTAACTTGGCATCAGAGCCAATCCATAACCATTTTCATTGTCACTACAACCTATAACATTTGTGGATATCAGAGCTAATTAAAGGGTTGACGTCAGCACAATCACGACATTAGCAATTCCGGCTTACACCATTGGATTTGTCTTCTCTTCCTGAGTACCATGCTATTTTTCTGAATTGTTTTTTGAGTCATTTGGTACGATTTTTTATTTTTCAAATGTTTTTTGGATATTTCATAAATTTTTTTTTCGTGGTCTACGTATTGGAGGAGTTTTTGGAGGATTGATTGCACCATATCTCTTCCTTGGGTGATGACTTGGACATCTTCTAAGGGTTTTGACTCAAACCCATGTGTTTCTTTGGGCTCAAACTGTGTCAGGGACCCTGTTAGACTGTTGGCTGTTGTTTGTCCCTTGACTGTATGTTACTTGATTCTATTTCTGCGGGTTTTTTGCTCTATTGTGTAGTACAAGCTTTGGGTTACTTCTTTTCATTGATAGCATTTAGGCTTGGGCTGTGACACATTTTTTGGTTCGCTGTGTTGTGGGTTTTCTCTCTCTGAATATATCTATATTATGGTTGTGCTACCTCTGATTTGTGGACATGTCAGAAACAGTTAGTACTAGTGTTGCTAGTGTTGGGTCGAATGGGCTGAGTCTAGTCCGGACTGCTGGTGATAACCCCTCTCTTCAGATAAGTCCTTTTAAATTGGATGGCAACAACTATTTGTCTTGGTCAAGTTCTTGTGCTTTATCAATTTCTGCTCGAGGCCTCACTGGATATATTATGGGAGAAACGAAGGAACCAACCACAAATGGTCCTTTGTGTAGTCAATGGCGTTCAAGGAATTACTTGGTAATGTTATGGCTACTTACTTCTATGCAACCAGCTATTACTCGTGGTTTTTTACTCCATGATACAGCATGTAAGATTTGGAATACCATTGCTCAGACTTATTCACAAGTGGGTAATGATGCTCAAGTCTATGAACTACGCAAGAAGGTTCATGGAACGAAACGACGAGATATAACTGTCAACAAGAACTATGCAAAGCTTAATATCTTTGGCAAGAGTTAGATTATTATTAGGCTTTTCAAGCAGAGTGTCCATCTGATGCTGTTAAGTATCAGAAAATAATTGATGAGGAGTGGGTTATAATTTTTTGGTTGGGCTTAATATGGAGTTCGATCAGGTTCATGCACAAGTTCTTGGTCAAAACTCCTTTCCTACATTGAGGCAAGCATATGCATCTGTTTTTTAGCAGGAGGAATGTAGGAGGACCTCAATGATACATTTTATTCCACAGGATTGGTCAGCCTTAGCCGCTATTTTGTTATCTTGGGATACATGAGGGGGACCATCTCGGGGTTGATCATAAAGACTAGCTCAAGTGTGACTATTGTGGCAAGGCAAAGCACACTCGGGGAGTATTGTTAGAAGCTAAATGGACATCCTAAACGAGGATGTGGAGGTCGGACAAAACCAACTAGATCACATGCTCACTTGTCAAAGGTGCCCGAGGACTTATCTCCATCCAATGTCATTGATGCTGGTTCTCTCTCAAAAGAAGAGGTGCAAACTCTCAGATGTTTGATGACCAAGCTTGACTCGCATTCTGCCTCACTTCAGCCACGGCTTCTCCTAGTACCCATGATAGTAATCCTCCTTCATTCCATTTTGCCCAAACAGGTATCCATGCTTGTGCTTATAATTCTTGCATTGTTTCTGCTCCTTGGCTAATCGATTTTGGTGCTACTAACCACATGACAGGTTCTTCCAGTTCTTTCCATACTTATACCCCATGCTTTGGTAAGCATAAGGTTAGGGTGGCAGATGTTTCGTTGTCATCTGTTTCTGACAAGTTTTTTTTTTTGTTGTTCTCTATCCTTACCACTCTCTGTTAAGTGTTAGGGATATTTTGGTACTTTTGTAATTATGTTTATTATTAAAAATACTATACTAGAGTCTAAGAGGAGAACCCTATGTTTTTGGGAAACTCTTTTTCTCTACCCGTCTTGAGCAATTCTCTCTCTCATTCTTCTTCTCTTCTTCTTCCTCTCTAATATTAACATTGTATCAGAGCTTCATCTTCCTCTTTGAAGATTTCTTTTTCTTTTCTCCCTTTTTTCATTATTCTATGCATTGTGTCCCAAAAAAAAAACAAAAAAAAAAAAAAAAACAAAAAAAAAAAAAATCAAAATTTGATGGGCTTTCCTCCCATGATTTTATTTAAATTTTTTGTCCACTGATTGGTTGTTTTTTCATTTTTCATTGAATTTTTGGAAAAACTAGCTGTTTTTTCGAAATCCCTTCTTGGACCTGTTTCAGCCTGAATTTTCCCTGCTTCCCTCATCCTTGGGAGCCGACTGCCACAGTAGAGGGGTTTGGTGGTCCTGCTTTGAAGGTTTTTCGAGGTTTCTATGAGTTTATTCGTGTTTGGTATGGTT